TGTGTGTGTGTGTGTGTGTGTGTGTGTGTGTGTGTGTGTGTGTGTGTTTGTGTGTGTGTGTGTGTGTGGGAACAATAAATGTGTGTTTAGTCGTAGGATGATTGTATGTAATATCTGTGTGTTTGGAGATGGAGCACATGGGGGAGAAACAAATCAGAAACACACTGGTAAAAAGGGCTGTAGAAAGGTTTCACCTTGTGCTGTCTGTGCACAGTATGGGACTGTTTTTGTAAACAAGCCTAAGAGAGAAAGGGGAGGGGAGCAACAGGAGGGGGAGGAGGGGAGAGAGAGCAAATTACTGTAAAGTGTGCGTCAGTGGTTTAGGCTTAGAGGGAGATATTTTTCTCCCTGCTTCTGCATCTGCTCTCGAGGCAGCGCCAACATTCAACAGGCACGAGCGCTCCCTCCATCATCCTTTTTTTTCCTTTTTTTTTTTTGTTTTGCGTGCGGTGTCTTTCATTTTTCCTCTCCTCCTCGCCTCACCCCTCCTCCCTCACACGTCTAATCCCTCTATCTCTCGACCTAGAAGCACCCTTTGTCCTCCTCGTTTGTTTTTCGCCCGTCTCTTCCGCACGTCGTTCGGGGCAACCTTGTTTACCTGATGTGGAGTTCTCATCACCGGGGTTGTCATGGCGATGGCCATGCGAGCGCCGTCTTCGTCAGAGGAGTGGGGCCCGGTTGCCGTGCCGATGTGAAGTGGCACAGCCTCAATGGCCTCCACTTCTCACTGTTTTCCCTCTCGTATATATTCTAATTCCAATCTCCCGAGCCGTCATCTGCTCTTCTCTCGATCGCCACCACCGCCGTGGCCTTCGCTGTTTCCTCCTGCAGTGAAATATGGGCCACAGCATGTTCTACAGGCGTCATTCAACCATAATGTCAATCAACGATGTCACACAAAGCTACTGCCATATGGTTGTAGCATCAGCTTTGACTCCTTAACGCAGCTCAGGGATTAGACAGGATACTACACCAAGACTTATCTTTATCTTTGCATTGAAAAAGTAATCCATCTAATCTCGTTCTGAGTCTGGTTTTGCAGAAGGTGGTCTGTCATTTTTCATATTGAAAGAATTTGCGCGCGTATTTGCTGTTAGTGTATTGCATGTGGGGCAGGAGCAACCACAGAGGACACTAAGGTCTTGTTGTCAGTATCGTGTTTTTGACGGCTGTGCCAGCAAGAATAAGATAGATTTGTTAAGTTATCCAACCGGTAAGAAAACCCAGCCCAGTGTAGCCCATTCTTTTCCAATTAAAGTAGCTGGAAGACACCAGTGACGAGCGATGAGTGCAAGGGCAGAGTGTGCGTCAGGGAGGCAGCTGAATGAATTGATTGATTTTTCTTTTTTGTCAGAGCATTTGATTTATTGATGGCTGTCAGGATGTAATACAAACAAAAAAAGGTTTCTAAAATACATTACCTACCCAAGCTTTAAATGTAACTTTGATGAATACTATGCATGGGGAAAAAACACAGGAATAAATGGATTTGAAAACATTAACCAATATTTTAAGATGCAGGCCTATACTGTGTGTCACATCTTATTTGTATGACCATATCGGACCATGCACCATGTCTTGATCATGTATCTTTTGCTGTGGTTAAAAGAAAACTGTCCCAACTGCCTGCATCCTTCACCATCAGCTTTGATTAGAATTTCTTTGTTTAAAACTGCCCTCTTTGCGGCCCAAAGAAATTTATATTTTTAAAAATACTTTCAGGTCAACCATTTTTTCATAAAATATGGAATGCATCCTCAACTACTACGACCTCTAGTTGATGACCTTTTGATGAAAACCAGCTTCATATTTGACCTGATATCCACATACAAAAATCCACAATTAGATAAAAGAGTGCAAATAAAGAGTGCAAATAAAGCAGTTTGATATTCAACACACTTAATATACGCCTCAACGGGCAGCAAAACAGAAATGATAAGGTAGTAAATATATAACATTGCATGTAGGCGTATACAAGTGCAAATAGCATAAGAAATGATTGGTATCGAGGTAACCGGTGGACAAGATGCAATGAATGAACACTTTATAATAACATAAGTCATTGTTGTTGAGTGCTTTTTTCCAGAGCACCCTACAACTCCACGAGTACCTGATGTCTAGCTTGTGGGCCCTGTCAGGATGAAGTTCTCTTTACCGCCAACAAAACTATAATTTAAACAAAAATTATTATTCACTGACTGCAGGAGCAGACGCCCACATTTGCTTGACTGATTGGAAGATGATTTTGAGACGTTGCCCCTCCATCTACTCTATCATCCCATTAATTGGTGCAATCAATTGGATGCTCTCAGTGCAGGGGGGCACAGGGGGCCTCTGCAGCAGTGGTTGGCGGTATCTCAGCCGGTGTTTAGGTACAATGGTGGCGACGGTGTTTGTGCATGCGGGTCCTGGCGGCAGAGCGCGACCGTGGCCCCAATCGATAGTGTCTCCTGGTGACTGATCACAGCGGATCAATCAGTGACACAGGATCAGTGACTGGCTGAAATGTCACCGGCTCCATAATTAAGACCTTCATTAAGCCACAGCTAACAGAGTGTCACTCTGTTGCTCTCACCTCGACTCCTCACCGACATCACCCTTCATCCTCCTCCTCCCCCTCCCCTTCACACGCGCTCACATCCCCCCACCTCCGTCCTTTCCTCCATATGCTCCTTCCCTTCCCTCTCAATCCCTCTCAATCCCACCCTTCTCCCTTTTTTCCCTCTCTTGTTCGCTCTTTTCTTCGTTTCACTCAAAACCTCTTTTCACCGTGCTCGATACATTTGAAAGACGAGGCACTGATGTGTGCACAATTTCATATAGGGGTTTTGTTAAATAGTGCCGAGGATAATTAAAAAAAGGCATTTCAGCAGCTTGTCTTTTGATGAATTATGAAAAGGTTGCCTAATCCCTCTCTGTGTCGTGTGTGCTCTCCTTTTCCTTTGTCATTCTTTTATTCTTTGTTGTTTTTCTACTTATAATTCCTTCCTTTCTAACCCTGTGTACCCTCATCTCTGTCTCTCCGTCGGCCTCAGAATCTCTCGCTATTCTGATGCCGCGTGCTCCTGTAATCCAGATTAGCCGGCGAGTGTTCTTAATCTTATCACTTCCCCAATCCTGCGTGGGTGGGTGCTTTTCCTGGTTTTGTGTGATAGGGGGAGAGGGAATGATAGACGGCAGGATTAGAGCAGATTCTGGGAGAGACTTGGAGAGAGAGAGAGAGAGAGAGAGAGAGAGAGACACACACACACACACACTGTACGATAGTGTGAATGTAAAATCACACATATCGGTGTCAGCCGTGTTCTGCTGGAGTAGAGTTGGAAAATAAGAAATTAGTGGGGGATCGTAGGAGGCTGGAGCTCAGCCCAAATTCACTAACATCCGTACATGCATGCATGTGTCACCAGCTTACGTCATACTAAAGCATTAATAGCATTTCTAGGTGGGTTACAGGACGTCGGTACACATGCACGTCATCTTTTGCAGTTTACATGACAAGTACTGGCCACATTGTGATGAAGTGCCATGGGTGCATAGATTCAATTGTTTTTCTTGTGTTCATGATCACTTCTGCTGTCCTGTGTTTAAAGCTGACCCTGCCACGTGACCGCTTTCTTTCCAGATGAACCGTCCAATCCAAGTGAAGCCGGCGGACAGCGAGAGCAGAGGGGGTAAGAGACACCTGTCCCCATCTAGAAACACAGCACCTGTTCAAACAACACCGTCACCGTGCACACGACCGACACAGTCATTCAGTCTTGAATCCACACGGAAACACTTGCAATGAGTAAAATGCAATGGTTTTTTTTGTGTACAGCTCTTAAGACTGTGACGACATCTCAAAATGTCACCATCAGAATCTAGACAGTACCAGTTAATGATTGAGGGGATTTCTACAAACACGCAATTGCAACAACAATTTGCATAGAAAATATGCAAGAGGTTATCAAACAGCTCAAAACTGTGATTCAAGGTGCAGATGTTAAAATGGGTGTTTTGTTGCAGTCAAACCACACCAGTGCCTCAACAGCCTCAACAGCTTCAAAGCTGCAGGTTTAAACTACCACAGGTGTGCTACACTGGTCGATCTGACTCGATAGATGCCATTAAAGAGCCTTCAGCCCTAACATCTAGTCACCTAACCACAGCTAATTTTCACACGTTTGTGAGCACACTTATAAATGTAAACTTAAAGCATCATTTTTTTTATTTTGTATTCATTAACTACAATTCCTATATACTTTACATTATTCTTGCCATTACACTTGAATAGAATCTGTTCTATTCAAGTGTCCCAGTAATTAGCTTTCGCTAATGCTATTAGACACTTATGTAATTATCACCTTTGCTTTTACTACTATGACGTCAGAATGTCAGATGTGAAAAGGGCCTTTTCATTTTCTCCAACATTTTGAGTACGCATTTGTTTTTCTCTGAGAGTTTAGCGAAACATACTATAGTTTAAGAGGGCCATTACCTTCCTTTAATTTCAATATTGTATGACAGTGAGTTTGCTGACACTTGGAATTAGCTTGATCCATCACAGTCAACATAATGGTAATGCTTTAGTTTGAAATGTTTGCTGTCAAACCACAACTTTACAAGAAATACAAGAAACGAGTTTGATGGCATTACAATCATAGCTTGTGAATTTGAATGCTTAATGGCAGCCAGCTCTCGAATCCAAAACATAACACCACATTTGTACCCATAATCTCCAAATAACAGAGCATGACATGCTCACTGTGATTGATTCTGTACCTCAAGCTTTTAAGTCTCGGGATTTACATACCATACCAAAATGAAGGCCAAATAAATTACAATCTCATGTTATGGGAAAAAATAAATAAAGAATTAGGGTCTCTAAATCTATTGGCATGTTTTGGAGAACGGTCCGCGGGGATGCAACGCGCGTGCGATTGGTAGTGAATGGGCGGAAACACGCAGAAACACTGGCCTGATCCTTCACAGACGGGGACAGACGGAGCAGCTTCTCTGACAACACAGAGGGTGACAAACATTTGAGTCACGGCCAGATGCTGTTTGTCTCTTGTCATGTTCATGCTGCTGCACTCTGGTGGCGCTCTGAAGCATAGCAGGCTGATCCCTCCTACGTTGTAGCTGCTTATCACACAGTTGTCCTTTATTATTCATGCATATACGGTGACATGGCACTCCCCCCCCCTCTCTCTTTTTTCACTGCCTGTATCACCTCTCCCATAAAACATCTGCTCCCTCTTTATTCCCTATATAACCTCACTCACACCATCCGCACATTGTCCTGTTTCTCTCTCTCCCAATATCGGCGACCTCCTTCCCCTTAGAAGACAGGAAGCTGTTCGTGGGCATGCTGGGGAAACAGCAGACGGACACCGACGTGAGGAAGATGTTCGAGCCGTTCGGCAGCATAGAGGAGTGCACGGTGCTCCGCGGGCCGGACGGCACCAGCAAAGGTAACGTCAATGTGTGAGAAGCACACGAAATAGGTTCAATCCAGTATTGGACATGTAGAAACACAAACACATGACTATAACTAACATACAACACAAAGTAACTGTTGTGCATGTAATCAAAGCATGACACGGGGTAAAAACAATAGTAAGATAACTTATTTCCACTCAGGATAACAACAAAGACTGCTGTGCCTCTGTTACAGTGCATTCAACAATCACTTCTTTTAGATTCTTTGAATAAAAAATATAAAAAATTTAAAAGCCCACACATTAAAGGGATGAGAGGCAAAAGAGCCACATCTATGGATTTTGACTACTATACCCATGTAAGCCTGTAGTCCACTCAAACACCTGCAGTATGGTGCCTGGACATTTTTATACACAGGACTGAACAAAGTTAGATATGTTTAACCATTTGAGTGATTTCAAATGTCCTAAAAGCTAACTTATTCCTGGTCTAAATTACCCACAGTGATTAGGCTTTACCTAAAATCCTAAAGCACGACATTTATATTTGTTCCAGTGAATGATAATCTCCCAAGCTTTACTTGCCACTATTTCCAAAACACCCGTAACTCAGTTTTCCTTTAGCTTTTACAGATCTCTAAGATAAATTGATTACAAAAAGAGTCCAGATCACGACTGTTAGAGTGAAACTCAGTGAAACAAACTTTGGTTGACTGTTTGTGTTTTTTCCAGCCTTGAGAATTAAGCCTTCAGCACATTTACCACCACGTGAATGTTAATTTATATTGTCACGAACAACAAAGCTAATGATATTTGCCATGTAAATCAAAGTCCGGCAACAGTTCAAACACAGATGCTAGATTTTTTTCTGCGTTTGGTGCATGAGGCATGACTAATGGTGCAATAGGTTTTATGGGTCATGTCTAATGATGCGTTTGGTGGTTTACGGACTGTGATTGATGAAGCAATGAATGTTTTGTGGACCATGTTTAATGATGCCACGGTAACTGATGAAGCGCTGGATGTAAGACGGCTCCTAATGTATTTTTAAAGGGAAGTAGTTTCTGTATACCGTGAGTGAGTGTGTGTGTTTTTCCTGTTGTCTGTCTGTCTGTCGGTCTGTGTGAGGCCACGTTTAACGGTGTGTTGTTTCATGTAGGGTGTGCATTTGTAAAGTACCAGAGCAACGCAGAGGCCCAGGCCGCCATCAACACTCTGCACGGGAGTCGCACTCTACCAGTGAGTCCCCCCCTACACACACACACACACACACACACACACACACGTGTGCACACGTGCAGAGAAACACATGGTCACACACATGGTCACACACATACTGAAATACAGTATACACACTTTTAGATGCTCCAAATCCAGTCATTTAGACACTCAACGTGGTGACTCAGCTAGCAGTCACCACTTCTCATTTCTGTCCCCCTCCTCCACACACACACACACACACACACACACACACACACACACACACACACAC